GGCCGCAAGCCCGCCGCCGCGCCCTCACCTGTGTGCCCACCACCACAATCTGAGGCAGCTGGATGATGTCTGCGCCCACAGTGTTGAAGACGTCCTGCAGCTTGTTGATGACAGGAATGAGCGCCTCCATGACTCGGGAAGCGCGGCCCCACCGCCCGCCCGCCCGCGGCAATGAATGGGCCGGGCCGCGTCTGCCGCCGCCCTAGCCGCCGCCCTCGCCGTGGAACCGGCGCCCATTGGGCCCCGCCCGCTGCCGGCCCCATTGGGCCCCGCCCGCTGCCGGCCTCCCGGCAGGCCCCGCGCCACACTCTGACGCGCCAGCGGCCTGCCGGGAGCTGTAGTTCCGGAAGGATGGTGCCTACGACTCCCGGCAGACGGCGCGCGGGCGAGCGCTTCCCGCGCCAGGGGCGGGCGGGCTAGCGGGATGGGTTCCCTGCTGGTTAGGGCTCTGTCCTGGGCGGACGCAATGCTCCGGGTGCGCGTCCGGCCCGTGCGGGCGACCTGGGCCTGGCATGGGGGCGTATGTGGTGGTCTTGGCCTCTTGCCAAATTTTAGAACCAGCAAACCGCCCCCCCGCCCGATTCTTTTGGGGAAAAAAAAGTATGACAGATATTTCAGGGCTTCACCAATCATAGAGCTGCAGAAGAGATTTTCCCAAGGTACTATGATGTGATAGGTGCGTCCCACTTTGCTTCTCCTACTTTGTTTTTCTGAGCCTTGTGTTCTGACCAAGAAGAAAAGTCCTAAGGAACTTTCCTGGAGAAAAGCTTATTCAGAAACTCCATGCTTATGACGGGAGCCTACCTGGTATGGGCAGAGTGCCCTAAGGCAAAACCAGAGCAGCAGACAACTGTTTTCCTATATTCGCAGCACACACACACTCTGTTCCTTCTTGTTGATGGCTAGATTACAAGAGGAAGCACACCTATTCCAGAAAGGACTGTCATGAGTTTCGCATGCCTTATGTATTTTTATTTAAATTATAAGCCATCTCTTGGGATAGAACATCCACAGCCTCTCAATAGCAAGCGTCGGGAAGCACCCCGTGTTTATTGCAGCACTATTTATAATAGGTAAGCTATGGAAACAACCAAAATGACCCCAAATAGATGACTGCATCAACAAGATGTAGTCCATATACACGATGGAATAATATTAAGCCATCAAAAAGATAAACTCATGCCATTCCCAGCAACATGGATGGAACTGGTAAGGATGATCCTCAGTGAAGTAAGTCAGAAGCGAAAAGAAAAATATTGGATGGTTTTGCTTATAGGAGAACTATAAGAGAACCAAATGAAGGATCAGGAAAAAAAATTTAATTAGCAGGCAATATAAATCAGAAACATCCTGCAAGAGAGAGTGTTTTAGAGGAATCAAAATAGGGGAGAGAAAAATACAAGGGACTATGGTGATGGTGTATGGGCGAATTGGTAGTGGGAACTTTATTTATTTATGCATCCATGGACTGGGGTACAGGCCAGAGGTTCAGGGTAGGGGTAGTGGTGAAAAGATTCACAGAGACAGAGACAGAGTGGGGAGCAGAACAGACAGATTGACTGAACTACACTGCCAAGGGGAGTAGTGGGCCAGTCAGGAGAGGTCTGCTATGCCATGTGGGTCATCCCCTAGACCAGGAAAGAACTGGTGTTGCAGTGGCTGTGGAGAGCTTTCACAGGGTGGTGGGGATTTTACAGACTACACCTGAAAAGAGAAAGCATACATTATACAAAAATGAACAATGTGAAATATAGATGCATCAAGGTTTTTTTTTTTTTTTTTAACTGAAAAAAATAACACAGGCTTCAGGAAGGAGATTCCTTGCAGTTAATTCTTTTTCTAGAAGAATGGTCCAAATGTCCCCTTATCACCATACCTCCAGGTGGGTTTGAGTGGGGTGGATAGTACTTGTCTACACTGAGATACTGAGGGAAAATTTTCATCACAGAGGAGAAATGTCTGAGACTGCAGTCCAGGCCTTGAACAAGAGGAGCTCTAATAACAGTTTTGGTTCAAATCAGGCAGGATATTTTCTGGGTTTGTGTTTTCTAGGCAGTAACAAAGCAGACCAATATGGGTTTCCCATTTGAAGCTCAGGGCATCCTTGCTGGTGTCAATAGGTGTCTTTTTTTGGTTTTTGGTGAAGTACTTTTTTTTTTTAATATCATCATTCATTTGGGGACAGTATTCAATTTCTCCCTCACGTGTAATCCCTGTAGTTTTACCACCACAGCCCTGATCCATTACCACAGTCCCTTGTTATCTTCCCTACCCCTTCCATTTTGACTCCTCTCCCTCTCTACCAATCTTCCTGGTCACCTTGGATTGTGGTCAGCAAATTTTGTCTTTTTCCTGACCCTTTGTTTAGTTTCTGTATATTCTACAGATTAGTGAAACCATCTGGTACATATATCTGCTTCTTCTATATTTTGTTGGCATCATCCCTTCCGGCTCCATCAGTATAGCCGCAGATAACACAAGTTTATTCTTTTTGATCACTGAGTAGTATTCCATTGTATATAAACTACATCTTCTTGATCCCCTCATCTTTTGGAAGGCATTGGAGCTATTTCCATAGTTCCTCTATAATAAATAGTGCTGCAGTAACAGGAGTGCTGGTTTCCTTTTGAAATAGTGTTTTTGTGTCCTTAAGGTAGATTACTAGTAGTAGAAATGCTGGGTCACATGGTAGATCCATTTTTAATGTCCTGAGAAACCTCCACACAGCTTTCTATAGTGGCTGGACCAATCTCTGTTCCCAGCAGGGTGAGAAGTTTACTTTACGCCACACTCACTCCCAGCACTTTCTTTTTTCCTTTGGCAGCTGGACTAGTTTTTGTGGTTTTTTTTTTTTTTTTTTAATGGATCATTCTTCTGGTTTGTCTTTCATCATGGAAGTAGCATAGCAAGATGCTGTGAGATCACACTGAGCTGTGATGACCTAGTCTCCAGAAGACTTTGAGAAAACTCTTCAGCTACTTCTCTCACTAGGTTTATGATTTAGACTCATTTGGTTACCAGTCACAGAAATTTAACTCCAAGTTCACTGACTCAGAAAGAGGGATTAGTGAACTTAAAAATCAAAGGGCTGGGCTCTCCCTGGTGGCGCAACAGGCTAAAGCACTGCACTATAAAGCTCTCTGAAACCACTGCAGCACAAGTTCAAACCCTGCCTGCCCTGGAGGTAACCCACAAGGTGTGGCAGACCTCTCCTAACCCACCCACTGCTCCCCTCAGCAGTGTACTTCAGTAGATCTGCCTGTTCGTACCCCACTCTGTCTCTGGTGAATCCTCTCACCCACCACACCTCTGGCCTGTACCCCAGTTTGCTAAGCATAAATAAATTAATCTTAAAAAAAAAATCAAAGGGCTAGCATGGCCCTGGCCTCCCAAAAGGGGGGCTCTGATGGCCCCGGTGCCCTCTACTTTTTTCTGTTCCCATCTGTGCATCTTCAGGCTCACATTAGGTTTCAATTCACAGATATTGCACTTTTTACCAGCAGAAGGTTTGGGAAGCCAGCTTCAGCCAAGTCTGACAGTGCGATTTTTCCAACCTCAGGCACTCATTGCATGTCTCTATGTCATCCTAGTGAGTCTCACAATATTTTAAGTTGATTGTGGTTATTTTATCTGATTTGGGGATCTGTGGTCAGTGACCTTGGACCTTACTATAATTGTTTTGGAGGACTGTAGACCGTGCCCCATAAGACTGTGATCTGATAAATGCGTGTTCTGACTGGTTGGCCATGCACCCACCGTGACTCCTAAGTCCTCTTGATTCCCTCACACACAGCCATATTGAAATTAGACCAGCGAATCGCCTTGTAATGGCCTCTAAATGTCCAAATGAGGAAGAGTCACATCCCTCACTTGAAACCAAAAGCTAGAAATGAGTGGCTCGGTGACAAAGGTCTGGGGTAAGCTGAGAAAGACTGGAAATGAGGCCTCTTGAACCAATTACCAAGTAGGGATGTACAGGGAAAGTTCTTTAAGGAAAGTAAAAGTGAACAGCCTTTTACTTTGAGTGTTTGGATAGAAGATCAAACCAGCCACAATATATTTTGAAGCCACAACCTAATCCGGAACAGGCCCTCCCTCTCCAATGCCAGGGAAGCTGAGAGACGTGAGGAGCTGCAAGGGAAAGCTGAAGCTAGCAGAGCATGGTGCAGGCAGTTTAAGGAAAGAAGCCACCTCCTTCCTGTCAGAGCACAAGGTGACACAGCTGATGGAGACGCTGCAGCAAGTGGCTTAGAAGGTAGAGGTGAGGGGCTGGATGCAGTGGTTACGTACACAACTGATGGTCAATGCAAACAAAACTGCCTTCTGTTAGAAGAAAAGGCCACCGAGGACTGCCATAGCTAGTAAGAAGCCAGAGCCTGGTTTCAAGCTTAAGGACAGGTTGACTGTCCATCCCACTAGGGGCTAGTATAGCCAGGGACTTGAAGTTCAGGCCAGTGCCCAGTTACGGGTCTAAAAATCCTAGATCTCTTAAGAATTAGGCTAACGCTGCTCTGACGAGCTCTATAAATAGAACAGCACAGCCTGACGGACAGCACGTGTGTTTCCAACGTGGCTTACTGAATATTTTAAGCTTACTGTTGAGACCTGCTACTTAGAAAAAAAAGATTCCTTTCAAAATATTAATGCTAATTTACACCCACGCAGTCATCCAGGAACTAATGGAGGTGAACTGGAGATGAATGTTGATTTCATGCCTGTAACAATGTCCTTCCGCAGCCTGTGGGGCAAGAAGTCCTTAAAAGCATTTTAAGACCTGCGTTTCCTAAGTCTACAGCTGCCACCGGCAGTGATTCTGCTAACAGATCTGGGCAAAATAAATGAGAAATTGCAAATCCATACTACATGCTATTAAGAACATATGGATTCATGTGAAAAGGGCAAAATCTTAAAATGACCAGGAGTTTTAAAGAGTGGATCCCACCAGGTATCCCTGATGGCATGGAGCCTGAAGACATGACTGTTGCTGCTTCCGTGCTCAAGGGCACACCTGAGGACCTCAGGGTACTCAGGAACCTGTGGATAAGCAAAGAAAGGGTTTCTTATACTAGAATCTATGCTTGGCAAAGATGCCGTGAACACTGCTGAAATGAAAGGCAAGGATTTAGAATGTTATAAAAGCTTAGCTGACACATCAATGGGTAGGTGGGGGATTGACCCCAACTTGGACTGAAAGTCCACTCTAGGTAAAATGCTGTCACACATTATAACCCTACTGAAAAAGTTTTTGGGAAAAGAGCCAA